TCTATCTTTTGTATAATTGGTTCATATCATTACATGAAGTCATTCATTACACTAGGTTATTCTAAGTGTGATACTCTCGTGGTGTGCAATATTCGAACTAAGAAATGCATACTAATTTTGTTACAGCATAATCCGCTATTGGTACATAGTGCCATAAAACCAAAAAATCCTTAGATGGAGCTTTGAGTACTCTCCCACATGCCGACGCATCATTCAAAGTAGTCAGGATCCTTTGTTTGGTAAGCCACCCCTACGAATATCATTGGCCGAGAATATCATGTGGCAAAGGACTGGCTATCAAGAAGGCGGGTTTTTTAAGTTCGTGACAAGATTTCATCAGGGAGATCTCTGATCTGTCAGACTGCCTTATGGGGAATCTTTTATTATTCTCTCAGATTAATACAATTGTTAAACATAATTCAACCCATTTCATCGTAAATTTAACTAGTGGTCCTTGCCTCATCTTAAGTGACCCTAAGCAACCCTTATTCGTTTTAGACATCTAAAATGACTAGAGCTTTCAGACTGAAATTATGATAGGGCACCATATTTTATGAAGCCATGCTTGAGATAAACGAGCAAAGCTAATACCTCCGACTCACAATTGTATGTACAACATCCCTCGGCTGGCTCTAACTTCTATAGAAATTGTCCATTGGCCGGATGATACCCAATGTCTCTCGGGCGACTAAAATTTGGAAGAAAAACACGGCTGGTCACCTTTTGTCAAATACTTAGCTACGAAGAGAAATGGGGTTTCGATGATTCTCCTGAGTTAACATTGTTAGGGGGACTTTCATTTTGTATGAAGTGCATGAAGAAGATATTCGTAGGTCGATCTCGCCAGATGAGGACGGTTGAATCGCGTTGTACTGCAGCCGTCTGGCTTTTATACGACGTTTAGGTTGACGCAGTCCACGAAACATCCTTCCTCGTTTTAGGTTAAAACGAAAGGTTTTGTTTATTTTCTTTTGTCTTAATTGAGTCTATATATGAGGTAAGACAGAGCCCGATAGTCTTCTTGCCCTAGGGTTAACGTGAGACTTTTACAGGAATGAGACCCAGCTCAGATGATGTCTATCATATGATGGACGAAAGCTCAGCCCGTTTTCACCTGAAACAAGGGAGCTCTCGTGGATCGCGCGTGGACTGAACGTCATATAAAAGCCAAATGGCTGCAGTACAACGCGATTCAGCTGTCCTCATCTGGTGATATCGACTTTCTTCATGCAATGAAAGTCCCCCTCAAAAAACAATTAGCTACCAAATTGTGTGGCATAATTTTCAATTGCACCCCAATAGGCCAGTAAGCGATAGCATTTTAGTTATCTGGATCCTGAATTCTGAACTACGAGCTCACTTTCGTAACCTAGAGAGAAAAAGTCCCAATTCCGGAGAAAAGACGGTATGCAACAAAAATGAAGTGAAAAAATCAGATTGAGTATGTATGGAGATTCTGTGAGGTTTTATTGTTTGCATGATAAGTATATCCATTGAGGTTGGGAGAAGACTCGTGAGCAGAATAAAAAAGGATGAGAACTTGTGTCCCTTCATTATACACTTTTTGAAGATAGAGAATGTCAATCTGAAGGTCGGTGCTAATCGCCACGTTCAGGGTGATTACCTTGTGGGCACGATAGTGTAAATCGCTGCCGTTCCTCCAGGATATAGCAATAGATGGCCTGTACAACTGTGAATGATCATGTCTATTAAATAAATAAATATATATATAATGTAGGCTTTGAAACTTTCAGTAGAGCTTTTATAAGAAATTGTAGAGCAGTGATACGCGTAGAAGATCTCAGGATGCCAGTGAAGTTCATTCAGCTTTCATCCCCAGGGAGGTTTCTCATCCAGTCTGAACAATGACTTCCGGTTCTTATTCAAAAAGCTCCTAACAAGAAGAAGTTAATAAGTTGCTTTAGATAAATTCTCTTTCGTCAACTATCGCTAGGAGTTGACTTTATTAAATTGTTCATACAACATAGGTAAGCTTATTGTCCTATTGTGCTTGCCTGACCTCGTTTTCCATCTTGTTCTGGGCTCATGCATCATAAGCAGTCTCGATATGAGATCCAAATAAAACAATATTTTTGGTATTCAGCGCTCATTTAAGAACGATCTGCGAACTTCTAGACCGTGTTCATCACTGAATCATGGCTCTGATCGAACTCATAAGAAATGGACCCAGAATTTGATGTCTATTCGCCCCAGCTAAATGACAAAAGGCCTATGTTGTATGAGAAAGTATTCGTCTACTCGACTGGGCCGTCAATGATGGGACAGACTTGTAGGACTGAATCTCCATATCTCTCACCCTTTGCAATGAGGGTTCACATACTCTTTGGGCTGTTTTTATTTGCTCTCTCTTTCGCCTTAGGTCATTGCTACCGACCTGGACATGCCCCACCTCCTGTCCATCGATTGGTTGGCCCTTCTACTGCCCGAGCTGTCAACTCTGCTGGCTCCAGTCTAACTACCGGCCCAGTGATGCATCGATCAACAGGCCGGTCTCCAGACCCATTCTATTGGTCGGTTGGCCAGCTATTCGTGTTCTGGTCTCGTGTATCCTGTAGGCGGTTTAAAAACTGGGCATCGATTGGCCTCATTTTAAAGAAAATTGCGTATACAGGGATCTGTTTTGACAACCATCCTGGCCACGTTTAATCTCCTCAACCAATTCAACCAAAATTGTGGGCTGGTCAGGGTTAATTATGACGCCTTATTTTAACTTATAACCACTACTTGCGCCGATTTACTTCGAAATGGGCATAAATTCCAGTAGCTTGAGACCTATGCTGAGAAAACTTTAGTACATTACTTTTCTAAGATTTCTAGCTACTTAACACGAACATTGTTCTGCATCAAATATCATTTTGAATGAGAGTTGTAGTCTACCCAGTTCACAAAAGGGGATGAAGCATTGATAACCGAATTTTCCCATGATGGCATGAGTAGGTCTCACGATTCAGTTGAAGTTCACTTAGCCATACTTCCAAAGGTAGTCTCCGAAGCTGCCTTCTTGATTGCGATTCCTCTTCCTCTAGTTAATTATAGGTCGTTGACCAGTCATCTTCTTTTTGCTAGTCTTGCCGTATCCGCCGATTGCTTGAGAAATCGGCAAAATTATCGCTAACTCTGCCTTCCGATCTCCTGTTTATTGAATTTTTTTCGCAAGTATTTCAATGTTCTCCCTAGTCTCCCTCTTTGTGCTTTCACTGTATGAGGATCTTCTCTCTGTTGCCTTCCAATTGATCTCATGTCCAGTCTGTCTAATGTGTCCGCCCTTTCCGACCTTTCGGTATCCATTTTATTCCAGAGCTTTTGATGTTCATTGATTAGTATGCTAATTTTCCCCCTGTTTAGCCAATATATTTCGGTCTGCAGACCCTGCATGAGACGCAGTAAACTTTTGAGCAATCCATTTTGCCCACCCTCCCATGTTGGGTGGGAAAACTTGTGAGGAGTGTTTTTTTCCTTCGTGGTCACCTAAATATTTCATTTTCTTAATATTAGCCGTAGTTTTTAGTTAGTTCGCAGGAGGGTAGGCATATTCACTTTTGTGGGTCCTTATCCATCTTTACGGTTCTTTTATTATCCCTGTCCTGCCATCGGCTTTTAACGGCTTATATGTTTCGTTGTATTACTTCTCTCAGGTATCCGTTTCAGAGGCATATCCGAATCAATTTGTCAAATTCTAAATCACAGAATTCCACTCCCGTCAATCGTAGGCCTCCGGTGATCATGTTACTCAGTATTTCGATCTTCAGTCTGCAGTTGTGATGAGATTCAAATTTGAGTATTATTTTGGCGTATGACTTCTATCTAAACAATTTTCTCTTGAGTATCCCATTAGAGCGAATGTCTTCAACATCCAAAAAAAGTAAACGGCTTTCCCCCCTACCACTATTTTGAACTTGATTCTTTCAACAGTCTGGCTTTTAACCTTCAGTAAATCCTCCAAGGCTTATCTTCCACGCCACCAAAATACGAAATAGTCATCCGGGTACATTATTGAAAATACATTTGCCGATATAGATGAGATAGGCGATTCCATATGAAGTCCAAATGCCTGGTCATAGATATTGCCGTTGGATGTGAAGTAGGTAATCTCGAAACTCTACTTAAATAAGAAAAATAAGTAAGTTAGTCGATTGTTATAGCAAATATACGTTTGCTTTATCGACAATCCCACCAAAGAATATGATATGGCAAAAGGCCTGGCCTTCCTTGAAATTCACATCTGCCCTGTGACCCAAGAGCACTCGTGGCAATGTGGCCGAATGGTTAACGTATCAAGCTCACATTCTGAATTGTCATGGTTATACTCCCGCTGGGGGTGTTGATAAGACCGATACGAGGTCGAAG